CCTGTCTGTGGCAGTGATGCTGGCTGGCCTAGAGTCCATGTAGCTCTATTAGCACTACAGAATGCTGTCACCATTCAAAACAGACTGGCTGCATGAAGCCAGCCCATTAGGAAGGGTTCCTTGCCTTGCCTGGCTCCCAAGCCCCACCCAGGCACTGTGCCAGGGGAAGTTCAGCAGTACAGGTGGCTGAGTTCCAGGGCTGCTCCTGCATTTACTAGCACAGATAGGAGCCACTGTGGAAGCCACCAAATCAAGCACAAGGCAAACATCTCCACTTATTTGCAGTTAACCCCACGCTGATTAAATTGCCTTTTGATTTTGCTAATATTTGAGGATAGCCGGGCCACTGGCTGACATTGAAGTAATTTCCCTTTTGTTTTCTACATATATTTAAACCATGTCATAGATGTTAAAATTTTTCTGCATCATACAAAATCTGTAGAAATTACTAATTTCCTTTATATCATAAAACTCTGAATCTTTCTAATAATATAATACTTGCTTCCTATTTTTTAAAATCTGAAATTAAGAAAAGCATGCTTATGCCAAATACTACTACTATTCAATTCCTATGCAAGAACATGTGCCATGATTCCCATAGAAGCTGCATGCTAGTTTCTGTCCTTACTTGCATATTTTCCTGAATTTTCTTCTAATAGTGATTATAATTTTTTAATCTTTTGATCAATAAAAAAATGTTTACCCCATCTTAGTAACAAGCTATGCTTGTGCCTTGAGTTTTTAGAATGTGTGACTAAAGTACACTGTATAAAATATGCTTAGATACACTGTAAGAAACTTGTAGAAACTTGTGGGTCAGCCACTCTTGAACAATTCAATTTACTGTAATAATCTGTAAATAAGAAGTGGAGCTTTTCTCCATTTACACAACGCTGCCAACAAAAATACCAGGCTACTCAGAAGTGCAGGAAAAAAAGAGGTGTTACTTCATCTGGGAATAGAAACCGATCCCTTTTGATGTGAATTGCACCTTCTTACATGGATATCACTACATATTACACCTGTGACTGTTTAACTGTCATCATCTAAAAATCACATTAGTGAAAACAGACTTCAGTAAGCAGCATACTGGAATCATTAATAAACCATGAGTTGTTTCTCATGGTCATTTAGAAAGTTGCTATTACCACATTTTCATTAGTAAAATTTCCTTTTGTTGTAAAGGGAATGCTTTCTTCCTTTGTTATTTAAAGTAATATAGGACTAGCAACATTTCTTTAAGTGAAATGACAGCTATAGTGATTTTTTCTCTTTAATTATAAGCGATATAAAGTTCCTGCACTTGACCCTTTACATCCTGTTTTGGACTGTCTCACTCCCATAAGGATGAAACTTCCCTGTCATCCTTCAATACCAGGTTGAACTCTCTTTTTGAGTAAATAGGTCCAGTGCCTGGCCAGAATAACCTAGATACTGCAGTGTGGCCATCTCTGCAAGCTTAGCCCCTTTGTGAATATTGACAGAAGTTCTAGAAACTGTTTTTTCTCTTCTAAGCCAGTTTGCCCCGAAGAAAGTGCATACATACCCAACATAAGCACAACATGTCTATATCTCATTTGCTGCCTTTTCGCACTGCTACCATGCTATAAAGGGAAATCAATAAAAATGATAATTCAAATATGACCACACTCAGCTTTGCTTAAAAAGTGAAAAGATCAAGTCCTTGATTTGCTTCCAATAAAATGCTATGGATCTCTGCAAAACAGGGCTAGTCACTGTTTATCACTAAATACCACAGCTTTGCACAGAAAAATAGAGTATGAGTTAAAATGTCAAACTTCTTATCTGATTGTCTATTGCATTGTATGAAGAACTTACTTTATTGACTGGAAGAATGTTTTTCACATTGAAGTAGAATCCAAAGTAAACCATGTTAAAAACTCCGTGACGGCCCAGTGTTGCAGTAAGGCCTTTGTTGAGTCCTTGGAAGCCCAGACCACCGGTTTTAATGATCTGCTGAGCTTGAACAAAGCTAGATGGTTGCTACACAAGCAAAAGAAGGAAGAGATCATCTTTACAAAAAGAAAACAATAAACATAGCATCATTTCCATCCTGTTGACAAAGACAGTGCTGCCAATTCTTGTAATTTTATATTAAGTATCACTGTATTTGTTATTTTCCCTTTCCTGTGACCGTATAAAAATCACAATGAAAAAAATGAAATTTTTTTAATGAAAAAAAAGATTCCCCATTTTTCTTATTGCTGAATAAGATGAAAGCAGGACTCGAGTACTGTAAAAGAATAGTACTGTAACAGATTTCCATTTTATAAAAGGCAAAAAGGAAGAATCTGCCTCATATCAGATAGCGTCTGCCTGACTACATGCACCTTTGATCTTTTTTTGAATATACTGTGAAATTCAGAATTAGTATTCCCCTTCTGAATATTTTACATTTTTTTAGCAGCATTATAGAAGTACTGCTTTCCAAAAGTTGTTGAATAGAGTTTGGCTTTCTCTAAAGCATAAAGCCAAAAAAAACCATAAAGCCATAAAGCTCTGGGTAGCCAAATCTATAATTAGAAAGGCAAAACACGACTTCCACTAGGAGGTTCAAACATGAAAATACAGAAGAATTTTGACTACACCACTGTGAATACCACTAATTTCAATACACTTATTTGTTTAATAGCTTTCCATTTCAAAATATCACCATGGTAGATCAACAGCATCAGCCAAATGATGCTTCTATATCTGACACAGCATATGACAGCTTATTGAGGTGACTGACAAGTTTCATCTTTAATACAGAGTTTCATTCTGTTTTTTTCATATTTAATAACAAATATTATCCTGTTAATGCTCTGCATATATTTTACCAGAGTTTACTTTTCTATCTACTCCTAAGAATTCAAGTCAGAATCTATTCTAAAATGGAGGTATTAAACAAGGATACTATCAATAACATCCTTTTTTGTGCTCCAAAAATGGACATTAGATCTTTAAGAAATCATACAGCAACCTTCAACATTAAGGTATCCCTTGGTATCCCTCTTCTTGAATATGGATTTTCTCGTGACTCACAGGGCAAGCCTGTCACTTGCTGAGCACCTGAGATGGGATTTATAAGTCCAAATACAGACACCTGCAATGTCTACACCCGACTTCCCTTTTCAGTCCTTTAGTAACAAAGAGGACTCTCTCTGGCAGCATTTCCCTTTTACCAAAGGAGGTGTCATCATGTCAACTGATCAAGCCATAGAAGGTCTGCGGTTCATCACTGATGATGGAAGGACCTTAGACAGAGGAATTTATTGTACAAACATCTGGAGTTAATGCACTTCACACAGCTGTTGACTTTTACTTGATATAGACCTACTCAGTGGAACCTGGAGTCAGATTCTTCTCATCATAAAGCAGAAAATTGTATTTGTTTAATTAATCATGACTCTTGTGTCAGGTAAGAAGATTTTAATCATCATACCAGCTTCTACAGTCAGTGAGTTATCCAGGGCTGCAGGGAAAGGGAAAAAAAAAAAAGGAAAACCAAACAACATGGTGTCGGGCTTCTTGCAGTTTACTTTAACAAAAAGCCACCATTATTTTTACCCAGAGCTATCCACATTACAAAAGGGCTGATACGTGATTTCTAGTGGCCTTCCTCTTTAAATCTATCAGCCCTGGAAAGATGATCTGCTCCCACAGAACAATTCAGCTGTCACCGCAGGGTGTGAATATTTGCTTTGGGGGTGTGCAGGAGTCTGGGTGTGAGTGTATGTGTTCATGCTCTTCCTTGTTCCTTTTAAACAAGATATATTTATTATTTCTATACAATAGTCAAAGAAATATGTGAACTGCATTAGGTTTCATCATGTAGTATGAAAGCTCCACAATGGGATAGGTACACACTTTACTTAAACCTTTTAGAAAAACAGTGCACGGTAATGCCTTATGCTGTATAATATAACCTCTGGACATGCTCCTTCCAATGGGCTTGAGTTTGCATGCTTTATTGTGGAATGTTCTTTAACATTTTCTTAATGAGAACTTGACGTCAAGGTATAAGGCCACTGGAGTTTTTCCTAATTTACAGCAAGTTTTGAAGTTCTAACACTTAAAAAAGATATATTAAAAACTAATGTGTCTGTGATATAGCAGTCTTTATAATTTTAGAACTTAATTTCCATTGGATTTTTTTTCTCTAGAGGTAGTAGTTAATATTTTCAATGTAAACTAGGTTTCTAGTAGAGCCCAAATACCATTTTATGGTATTTTGTGAAACTTTGCATTTAAATTAAATTAGAGAATATTCACCTGAACAAAACCAACTCAGAATGCTTTTGGACAGCTACAGTTTGATTATTGCATTATTCTGAAGGTCACCAAGGAAGAGATGCTGTAACTATAGGAAGTAATTGGCTAAAATTTATAAATAAACCACCCCAGACTTTGCTAGAAATTTTGCAGTAGAGAAAAAATTAAAATGTATGAAGTGAAACAATACATCGGTCTTTTGCAACTTTACAAGGAATAGTTTGTTCAAAATATAACAGTGGTTTGTCTCTACTTAAAAGCAGAGCATTTTTAAAGTTAGGATAATTACATCTTCACAAGAGTGAAGCAGAAAGACCCAGAATATCTGCTTAGCTCACTACTGCTGGAACAGTAATAGTTCATAATTTTTATCACATCATCTTCTTGAGAGACAGATCCTCTCACACATTGCTTTTTCCTACTTTCAGTTTCTCTTCTTCCAGGATCCTAAATATTTTACTCCTCCTCTGCATTATTTATCGGTTTAGTGGCTTTGCTGCCCAAGTTTAAAAAATGTCTAGACTGGAGACTTGCAGCAAATAAACATGTCTTTCATATGCATTAAGAATCAAACAGGAGTTTACCAAACATTTTAAAATTTATTCTGGAAGAAAATGTTTTTCTGGATGAGTTATGGAATAGGCACCAGTTACTCTGTGGCACTTGGAAATCAGTAGCTGCATTTTTCCAGCGTGTACCTGAGGAGCTTGGCCCAAACAGGTTATGTAAATGGCCAGGTCATAAATCTCTTCACTGTGCATCCCCCAAAAGTGTTCAGTTTGTGCAGATGAGTGCTATGAGGCAGTAAGTTACAAGGCAAGTATTAACTCAGTCAAAACTTAATAGTAGAATATACAAAAATCATGTCCCACCAGGGATTCAGCCAACCTTTTCATATGATGCTTGTGTGATTTGGCACTACTACCATGATGCAGCTAATTTCTCAAAGATTTTTAAAAAGATGATTTGACAATTGTTATTTTTATTCAATGAGGAAAACAAAAAAGGAACTATATTACTGCCTTCCTTCCCTTTTTCCTGGAATATCTTCTGCATTAAAATTAATAGAAGCTAGTGCATTCCTGAGAATACTTGATTTTCATGAATCACTTTTTTCCAGTTTAATCTTTTTTCCCTCTCAACAGTACCCAGACTCGTGGGCACTGTTTTGCACAATGATTTCTTTGGATGAAACAATATTTGAATAAAAAAACTCTGAAGGGAAGCAAGAATTTAAATTATCAATGTACTTGTTATATAACAATTTTCCAGCTTGTGCTAATAAAAGTGAAGCCTTCTAAGTAAATTCATCCAAGAAACATAGTGTAAACTGGACTCTGTCTAGGGCACAGGGCTGTGGTGTTTAGTGCTAACCTTTGGTGCTTGCTTGAGGTCTGGAGCTTGCTGGGTAAACGTGCTGTGTACAGGGGGCTCAGTTTTGTACTCCTGGGTTACAATTCCTCACAGTGCTGGGTTGCTGGCTGCTCGGGAGGGATGGAGGTGCATTTCAGGCACAGAACACTTACAGAGGAGATGCTGATGTTCTGGCAATTCTGCATGCATCTCTACATATCTGAATTGGGTCTATTGGGTCTCTTCTGTTTCTGTTAAGCTTGTGGGAGAATCATTTACATCCGCCAATCTATTATAGACGTTCTGCTCTCAGTACGAACCTCGAAGTGCATTATTCCCAATACGGTGGGAAAAGGAGAAGGAAGCAGTTTTCCTACCTCAGTGAAGGCGCTCTGATTGCTCTGTAAGGTAACCTTCACTACTTCAAACGGGTTAACCACAACTGCCTCTGTCAACCCAGATCCCAAGCCAGCAACTGCAAATGCCTAGGAAAGTTCAAATGAAAATGAAATATTAAGGAGTAATACTTCCTCTGCATCAGATTGTGAAACTGAGGGATACAATGCAAACTGCAAGACTACAGCAATGCAGCGGCATTCTATTGCTAAACAACTTTAGCTCTTGAGTAGATGCTGACAGTTCATGAAGACAATATGACAATAGCCATAAACCATACTCCAAAACAATCAAAATAAATGTCATAGCACGCCATGTCCATGTATTCTCTTTTCAGCTGGAAGGGAAAATGTGGTACCAAATTATTATGCAAACATGGAAAAAGGGGAAAAAGAATGTCCTCATGTTATCTTTGGGTGGACTCTGAATAATAACACAAATGTAAGTGTAGCTATGCAGCGCTGGAAAAAAGAAAATCTCTGAACTGAGCATTAAACACATAACACTAACAAACTGACTTAAAAAATACATGTAAAAAACCTAAATAGTTCAGTACTCAAGCAAACTGCACAAGTAGAATGTTCGCTTAGTAGTTAACAATCCTAGAAAGGTTTATATGGGAATGAGAAATGTCAGCATTCATTGCAAGGATGAAGTAACTCCATTTACTTATGTGCTGGTGGCATTTCATTTATAGATATGGAGATATTCACTGCTTTGCTTTCCATCATGGCACAGTATTTTAAGATACCTTAATTTGTTCTTAACAAAACCCAAAATATTTAGGTCAATTGAGAAAACTCAGAGGGGTTAAATTTAATGAATTAATGTGATTTACACATCAATTGCTTTCACTTAACATCCTCAAACTCTCTAGGTGTTGAAAAAAAGTTCCAGAACAAAAATACATTATAATGAGTACATTTGCTGAAATTCAATGACATCGATAGTACGGGAATAAACAATAGCGAGAAAAAACTTATTTAACACAGAGGGATTTGAGCAGGCACTCCTGAGAGCTCAAGAGATGAATGGAAAGTTAGAAGGGTAGTGGCAAACTCCAGTCTTACTGTGTTGGAGAAGATTATGTTAAAATTTGTTTTCCCAGTAAGATGAGAACATTTCATCATCAACCATGAGACTGAAGCCAGTAGGAAGATGGTGCTAATGTATGCATCTGTCTTTTGATAATAAATATTGCCTTGATATGAGGTCTGTTGAGGTACCTAGAAACATTCTGCTTGGCTTAGACCAGAATCCCCCTCAGTCTTTTTTTCCTTCACTACCTTAGGACCAAAAATGCCTCTATAGTAACAGTGCTACACCAAAAATGTGAGGACTTTCTGATTTGTGAGGAGGTTCTAAGCGTTGCTGTATCTGTTCAGAGCAGCTTTTGGGAAGCTATTGCATGTTTAAAGGTTTTCAGCCTATTTTTCTTCCCCTCAAAAAAGTACCACAGAACCTTCAACTCTGTTCTTTCCACTTGCTAGAGAAGAAGTATCAGTGTCTCTATATACGCCTAAGGATGAGAACTGCAGAAAAATACCAGATAAAATAGGAGAGACTTCAAACAGCTATAGAGCCAGTGGGATAAATAAGAGGGAGAAGAAATTTACTTTAACCTAATTAATAAGAATTCCATGGCCATTCACTCACTGCAATTAAAGGGAAATGTAAACAGAAGCAATACTCTTTAAAAGAGACTTGAAATTACCAAAACCTTTATGGCACAGCCTTAAAAAGATCAATTGTTTCCTAAAGTTGTGATTTCATCATTGTGAAAAATACATTCTTACAGCACAGGAAGCAGTAGTTCTTATAGAAAATATTTTACTTCTAATGCACAGTAGCAGAAGTAAGATCCACACATGAGAATGCATGTTTACACCCTACATCTTGGCATTAAAACATTTCTGTGTATAGGTATGTCATACATTTTGTTTTTAAACCAGTTATTTCTTGAGATTAATTCCTAACTCCACTGATGGACAAGAGTGTTTTGCCATTTACTTCAAAGGAAATAGCAATTACTTATCAATAACTTATGTTTCTTTTATAAAGTTTTTAAAATAAGACTGGCATCTGTATTTTTGTTATAGTTGCCCTGTGCCTTGGAGAATAGCACTTTGAAATGTTGAACTAGACACTATGACATGAAAATAAATAAATAATGATAATCAACTATTTTGGTTATTTTGTAAGAATGAAGAATGACAAGCTGTATACAGACTTTCCACGGTGGTTGTCATTATCCATGTTAATGAGTGTTATGATATTGTACGGAATTATTTTGAGGACATTTGATATAAAACATAATTTATCAATTTAGATAAATTCTTATTAATGTTTTTGATATGAAACATAATTTATAAATTTTGATAAATTCTTATCAATGTTTTCAAGCGACGAGTCTGTTTTGAAAAACTCCGGATTGAGCTGGACCATTTAATTTTGGGTTTCTTCTGTAGGAGGAAGCAGATGAGACAGACTGTTCAGCAGACACATACTGCAGTAGAATATGAAGTTCTGCATCCATACATACCAGTCCTGGGGGCAATGACACATATCCCAGTAGCTTCTTGTATTGTTCGAAGGTAAAAAACTGTGAATAGATGTCAGATTGAAATTGAATTTTAAAAAAATTATTAGTTACTTATGCAAATTAGTAGAAAGCAGACTACAATGGAGATTCATTTTCCTGAGTAGCTGCAAATAAATGTGAGCCATTTTTATTTCACACCCTCTGTAGCAGTGTTAGATGTGCAAGAGTAGACAACCAGGCTTCATAACTGATTTTATTAACATGTCATGCATAATAGAAGCATAAGTGCAATTCAAGTAATGCTTTATCTAAAGTTCACTTACATCATATAGGACATATTTTAAATTTACAAACTTTTCCTTTGGCATTAACTTTCACATACTAGTTTAAATGTTGTAGCAGATATTACAATTTTCCCAAGAGATCACGCCCATATCCTTGTTGTAATGTGCTGCAATCGCTTTTGCATTTCTCAAGCACTAGTCTCCCTCTCAGCAGAGAGATCCAACTGTGCATTTTGAAGATGGAAAGTCTGTCACTTTTATAATCTTCTGCTGTCAATAGACACACTACTTTTCTCTCCTTACAAATAAATCTTTCAGTCAATTGTCTGCCTTCAAACAGGAGCACTTTGAAGTTCTGAGCATCTGCAATTCCTTAGAGGATGTCTTGAAAGGTGTACTCTTGGGATTTTCAAGGAAGAAATAAGATCAGCTTCACCTGCACCAACTTGGTGAAAGGCAAACATTTGCAAATGTTTCATTTTACAGCCTACCATTTCTTGACACCTAAACCCATTGATTTTAAGAATACCTTCTGTGAATTCTTATAAAAATCAAAGCATAATTAATGAATTGATTTGTTCTTCCAAGAAGAAGGTTTAGAATAACTCTGCACTGAAGTCAGTAGGAAGCTTCCAGTTGGCACAGGCAAACAGATTTTCGTTGCCTAGCTCCTTGTCTGTGGACATAAAGTCCAAGATACATGGTCAAGACATACTCTAAAGAGTATATTGACATTTTACAAATTATTGAGAAGATTCCCTCTGAAATACAACATACAATCTAGGCCACTATTTTAAAAACAACAACTCACACTACATCATATTCAAAACAGGGCTACCAGGCCCATTAATGAGAACTTAGAGATTATTTTGAGAATGAAGAATGGAGGAGAATAAATGATTTCCTTGTTTAGTTTAGCAAAAGAGGCACTGCAAGAGAATGAAAAACAAGGAAGATATGTAGCACAAAGAAATTAGGTGTAAAAGCAAAATATGAGTAGAATGTGGTTGGAGATCTGATTAAGCTTTCTTGCAACTAAAAGAGTAGAGTCCTGAAACAATCTTCCAATAAGAACAATGAAGGTAAAATCTTTTTCACTTGTAGGGGAGAGTTTGATAAGTTTATGAAGAAACAAAATCCAGTTTATAATAATAAATAAATATATAAGCATAAATATATAATAAATAAATAAGTTTATAGAACAAAATCCAAAGTGTCTTAAATTCCTATTCTGCAAGCACATTGCTGAAGCCACTGAAAAAGCAGTCCAGTTGCTATCACATAAGACAGATCTGAGGGCAGTGAAAATGGTCTTCTAGCATGAGGATGGCAGAATTTGTGGGCTAAAAAGAGTAGGTATTTGAATTCCGGGTAAAACTAAAAAGATTGGAGGAGTTATTCCACATAATTTTCACACATGGAACAACACAAGTCTCGTGAGTCCTGTAATCTGCCTAAGAAGTATTCATGTTTTTGTATACAAAACAAAGTGGCTTTCACACAGCATGTCCTGTATGATGGGAATGAAGAACACAAACCTGTCAGAGTTCCACCAAGACTGTAACAGTGCAGGTTCATATCTCCTACTACAAGAGCTGTCACATCCCAGCCTAGCAAAATAGCCAGAACTTTTAACTTTCCTGTCTGCTTTTCAATGTTGACCTGTAACATTTGATCAGTTCAGAGCAAGCTGGTTCAAATGAAGGTGGGATGCTTGGAAAGTCTGTGAGAGGAGGCTACAATCCCTCCACACAGCATCTGCCCACGCATGAGACAATCAAACTGTTGCACCATGAGAGGAAGGCAATGAGCAATGAGGCCAATGGAGATGTGGGAATCATAAGAGACACAAGGGAATAGAGTTTTTAAGACAAGACAGAAAGACTGTGTGGCCTGTGCTGAGTCTCAGCCAAAGAAGACAAGCTCTGTCCCTCACGGTTCAGTACAACAGACCTATCAGAACAAGACAGCTATTCCATAAAACACGTGTACAAGAACACAAGTAATAAGCACCACATTTTCATTTGAAGTTGTTTAGAACCTTTGTCCTATGGCAAAGTCAACAAAAGTTTTTCGATCAAGACCTTCTTCAAATGAAAAGTCACTGGAATCATACCAAAACCATCAGAGAATTGGGTGTTAATGTGTTAATAATGCCACTGTTTTAAAGCAAGAGGGAATATGTATATCTAATGCAAAATTGGGTTGTTAAATTCCGAAAACTGATGGGCTGCTACTCTGACCACTGGACGGATATTTTTTTATATACACAGCTGGGAGTATTATATCATTTTGCAGAAAAGGTCCTAGAACTGGGGCTCAGATTTTAACTACCCTCCAAAGAGTGTAGAGATTGAACATTAATCTTGCAAGCATCTTGAAAATATGTTTAAATTTTTTTCATTGGCCTTGACAATAACCAAAAAAGATAGAAGTGTTATTTAAACTTTAGCTCCATCTTTTTTGGACAACTGAAGGTATAATAGAGGTAAAAGTCTGACAAAGTGGGAGGGTAAGCTGCTTCACTGAACTAAATTAATTTCTTATTGTGATAAAATTTGCTTTATTCTCTTTCCAGAATCTTTCTAGTCATTGTTACCCTCTTAACCTTTAATGGAATTTCTGGTATTCCTTAATGTTTTCCATAGTGTTACAGATCTGTAAAATAGTTGTAATAAAGGCAGAATTACATTACCTAGCAATTTTTTTTTTGTCTTTAAAATGTTACCTTAGAAATCAATAGCTTCCTAGAGCCATAAATAAAATATCTACTTAAGAGTAACTATGCTTTAAATAATTTTTAAAAGAAAAAAAAATCAATAGCAATAAAATTTAACATAAATGTTGCTAGGTGTACTAGAGTGGCTAGTACACATACAATTTTGCAAAAAAAAGATTTCATATTGTATCATATGACTTCGTATACTGTCCACCCAAAATGTTTTTAAAAACATGGCATAATTTGTATTTTCCTCTACAGTTGTATTAAGTTAATAGCTTTGTGCAAAAAAAAATTTCTCAGAATAAACGTATTTAAAACATGCTTTTGTGTACATAATAACCAATATTGTCCATCTGGCAAAGATACACTTTAATTGAAGTTACACAGAAAATAGCCAAAGTACTTACCAGATGTCTCAATAACTCTAAGATAAAAATATATGCTTGAAACAAGATGTCTGGGAACACATGAGCAATATAAATTTGCCCCAAAAGTTCATCTGTTAACCATTGTATTGGCATCATCATTTCTTTCCTCCAAGTTCAATCTAACAGAAAGTTATAAACTTTGACTTTTCATCTTCCAGAAATACCAGCTTTCTTTTTAGAAGGGAAATAAAAAGAGAGAAAAAAAGAAATAGCAAGACAGACATGAGAACATAGTTGACTAAAAATGAAGCTGTATCTTCAACATTTAACCAAAAATCTGGAGCTAAATAACTTCATTTAAATAGCTTTATTTATACTTGAAAAAACACACACCAGATAAATACAATGTTCTAGTAGCACAAGTACATTTCTTCTTAGTACAAAATCTCCCTTGTCGATTCTCTACACAGTTTTATGACACTGTAACTAGAACCTTTCAAAAAAGTTCATTACAAACATAAAAAAAACCTACTGGAACCTAGAAAATGAGTTTTTTCTTTTTGTGATTTCTCAAATCTCAGAATTATTGGCCTGAATATAGTCTTCCCCTAAATCTCACTAGTCATTTAGGCAGCAGAGAAGGGATAACTTGAGGCTTGTTCAGATGAGGACAGCTCTTAGAAGAAAAAAAGGTTGGGGAGTGGGTCAGAGGAAGCAATGACTTTTCCTTCGGGGTCATAGCCAGCTAAGGTTAGTGGAAATTTGAGGTAGGTTGGATTCTTTTCAGGTCAAAACATGGGTACAAATTCCACTCTGGATGTTAAAAATTGTACTGGCATATGACAGCTCACATGGAATTGTTTCATTATACAGGTCCTTACAAGGACACTATTGTTCAGCCCTGTTTGTCACTGAGTTGTTCTAATGTAGAACACAGCTGATGTCTCAATGTAACTTAAAGTCATCCTGATGCCCTTGGGACAGCAGTAAATTTAAAGGAATGGTGTAAATAATAAAATAATTCAACTATTTAATTAAAATGCTCACATGCTTAACATTTAAGTTTGATTCTCATGTTTGCAGAAAACTCAGCTCTCACATCAATGTGCAAGAACTAGGTAGAAACCATCCCACTAAGAGAGGAGAAGTAAGACATTAATGGAGCTGTGAGCTCATGATGTACAAGAGTTTGAGAGAGCTGAGTCTGTTTAGCCTGGGGAAAAGAAAGGTAAGGTGATTTATTTCTGTCTTCCACCATCCAAAGTTTATACAGAAGAGAGTCAGATTTTCTCTGAGGCTGACAATGGAAGTGTGACAGGCAACACACAAAGGCTGCAACAGGAGGATTTGGACTGGATATAAGGCAAAATTCTTCACAGTAAAACAGTTAAGAACTCGAGGAGGAGCACAGAGTCTGCAGGTCTCCATCCTTTAAGATGTCAGAACTAAACTAGACAAGGCAACAACCTGCTCTAACCATGAAGCCAGCTCTGCTTTGATCAGAGACCTCTCCCTACTCAACATATTTTTATGATTCTATAATTATATTGAATATTTAAGACAATTTAATCAATTTAAGTAAAGTGATTTGAAATTTATGAATGACTCAAATTGGTAGGAGAAATCAAATGTGGGTTAGTATTTTTAACTAAATAAATGCCTGAATCTAAAAAGAACAGTCAGATTTACTTGATTTACTTTATCCTGTTTCAAATGAAATTAAATGGAGAGACAGAGGAAACATCACAATATGAAGGAAACGAGTTATTAGGAATCTTCTAAATATCATCCATCTATTCTTCACTGCCACTTTTCCATTAAACAGGAATTTAGTTTTCCTGGTTTTATTAAATAATTTTGAGATAAGTGACATATGTCACTTGCATCTAAAAAGCCAGTGCAAACAAGAAGATGACATTACCAGAGCTCCTTTAGGATTCTGTTACAAGGTCACATCCTGTCACTTTATACAAATATTATTCCTCTGTAAAGGAATTGGAATGTGAATGATTAATTGCAGACTAAGGACCAGAATCATATGCAGCCTTCTTAGAAAAAAAACAACAAAAAGAAAGAAAGGGAAAATCAAGACATTCTGTATAATAACTGCTTTTAGACACATTTGGTGCAACTATGGAAACTTCAAAGTTCTGAAGTAAAAGACTAAGAAACATTTACTCTTAACATAATAGCTGCTTTGATAGATTTAGAACTTTAGGATGATGTGCTTAATAATTAGGTTTTAATTAAAAAGGTTGAATGGCTCAACTGAAAAAATTGATGTATTGAAGTATTTTGCTTAGGAATGTTACTAAAATCCTGTTCTACAAATCAAAATAAAGGATAGTAAAAGAAAATCAGATCAGCAATTGACAGAAAATACACTTTGATAGGCTAGCATTTATAACTGTAAAAGAGCTGGAGTAAAATGTTTTGCACAATTAGGAGCTTTATCCATTATGATCTTAAATCTCTTCTAAAGTTACTATATGGAGCAGAGTGCTCTTTGAAGCTTTTGCTGGAGCACAAGAAAACTCTGGGCAGCACTTCAAACCTACTAAATAAGTACTTATTAGTGGCTTCTTTAATGGCTTTTTGTGTTAATTTATTAAGCTGTTAGTTGTTTTGCAAGTTGCTAGGCATTTTCAGTAAAACAAAATATGTAAACCAGAGGCAATTATGAAGCTAAAATAAAACTTAAACTATTTTATTAATTGTGACAATATAAAATAATTGCTATTTATTTTTTCAGTAGCTTTTGATACACAGGTCAAAATTAGCTTAAGATTTACGAGCCTTATCCTACACTTCTTAATCAAGGACAGTTTTTATTGTGCTATCAACAGGAAACTTTCCTCCTAATAAAAATCAGAGGATTAATATGCCAAATAAGTTTAAGATTCTAATCTCAGTCAGTGGGGGCGAAATAAAATGTTTTACAGCTGCCACTGTCCCTGCTTATATTTTTAAGGGAGGAAGCATGGGGTTTTTACCTTCACCGCCCTTTTGGGTGTCTCAGCCAAGACAGGAGGAAGTATTCCTTTGTAGAAGCCGAGTAATCTATCAAATAAAAAAAAAAAAAGAAATTATTTTTGTGTGGATAAACAACATATCAAAGCCATACTACCAATTCTATTTTAGCTTTTGAGTAAAGCAGCTAACTTTACAGCATTTCCAGGCATACAGACAAATAATGATACTCTCTGCTTGCTAAACAATTAATGTGCTATCAATTATATCATGTGCTGGAGAGATGATATAAAGAAATCAGCAATGAATATGTAAAAATAATTTTTTTTTACTGAAATACAAGAAATTGTATTCAAAAGGTAAAGAACATTTTTGAAAATGAAAAAGAAGTATTATTTCATTGTTTTAATTTGCTTAGAACAACAATGTTTATATTAAAAACTGAAGTCAAAATCACAAAATACAGATTTGGCAAAAAACTGTGACTTCAAGTTGCATATAAAAACACTGCTTGCTCATCCTCAGATGCTAGGTCAGACATATTTTAAAGTTTAGTTTTAAACATGACTCAAAATGTACGAAGATTTTCTTTTAGCAACTCAGTTTTAACTCCAGTTACCTACATATATACAGCCTGCTACATGCCAGCACACGTGGCATTTACAGAGCCTGAGCTCTGCTTACAAGGTCAGCGTAGATACATAATGCTGGGTCTCTGGAATGCTTTAAATGACAAGCAGCTTTCAAAATCCCCATGTGAGGCAGAAATAGACAGTCCTTGTCTGCTAGGTCTGCACACTAACCTGGACAGAGCGTGGTGAGGATTCAGAAAGGGATCTTGTGGAATCACCAAGAAGAATAATAAAATTATCAAGGTTGGAAGAGACCTTCAAGATCACCCAGTCCAACCATCAACCCAGCACTATCACTGTTACCTCTAAAGAACTAAACCACATCACCCAGTGCCAGACCCAGATGCCTCTTCACCACCTCCAGGGATGATAACTCCACCACCTTTCTGGGAAAACTATTCCAATGTCTGAACACCCTTACAGTGAAAAAAACCCTTTTCAATATCTAATTTTCATTGTCACTCTTAGCTTACAGTCATAAGTTACCTTATTAGCCAACAAGAAAACATCCTACAATTTATCCATCTTCAGAATGTATACACATTTATTCAGGACTGTTAGAGGATTCTGTCTACACACAAAAAAAATTACTTAAAGCGAAACATTTGTGTTTTTTTAAATGTTGAAAGGTGGTGATGTTGGAATGTGATGATTCACCTTTCTAAAGCAGCCTACTCTTTAGAATACTTTTGCAGAGTGTGTAAGAGACATGACATCAACAGATTCTCCTATAGTTAATCTCTACATGTCAAAACAAAAGAAAACAACGAAATTCATATTCCCCACGTGAATTTAAAATACTACAAATGCTATATGCTTCTCTGGAGTTCTCTGCTTAGGCTTCTCCAATATAAATAAAATAATTTAGGCTTTGTAAGGTGTTCTGGGTTGGGCATATTGCTTATCCTTACTCTGATGAAAGCAATGTGTAAAATCCAGACGATGACAAAAGGACACTTTGAACATTTAACACAATGATGGTTTCATGACAAAATACTGAAAGGTAGGAGATTAAGGAATTCAGTTGTCATCAGATGTTTAAATTTCCCCAAAGTCTTGCCTTCCAAACAAATATACAAATATAATTTATGTATCTATTAATATAGATATCGATATACCAGTAGATACCTATATATATGGATATAATAATATAAATGTGCTGGATCCATAGAATCATACAATCATAGAAACATAGAATGGTTTGGCTGGAAGGGACCTTAAAATTATTTAGTTCCAACCTTCCTGCCATAAGCAGAAAACCTTTCACTGCGTCCCATCCAGCCTGGTCTTGGTCTTTATCCTTAGTCCTGGGCTCGTTTTAGCCTTTAATGGTTCATACAAATTCAGAGCATATTGCTGATTCAACAAGCAATTGAAATATCAAATAACTTCAAGAAGGTGATTCATACATTTTAATGTGAATTCAAACTGAAACTGAGGTCCAAGTAGGATCAGCTACAAGAACACAGATCCCTGTAAACACTTTCTTCCTTTCAGCTCATTCTAAACCCCTGAAAGCATATCTTCAAAAGGCATCCTGCTTGCAATTTCTACTACTCCACATGACTGGAATTGGAAAAATAATGTCCTCCACTGCTTTACTCACTGGCGTAGCTCTCACTACAAAAAGTGAGCCTCAGTCTTGGTCTGCATTTTTACATTAGCAAGAGATGCATAAGCAGACAAATATGCAGTGTAGACAAATCAGTTTTAAAAACACACAGCAGTATTACCCAGCCTTACACGTTCCTTTTCCAGGTTGCCTTTTTGTATACTCAAAATGCATGCAGCATCATTGGATATATAAACCTTGTAACATTTCCATAGTCTCTGAGGTTCTCAGAGAAGGATTTCAGAGCGAATGTGGAGAGGAAGGATATACTAGGAACTTTAGCAATACATTTGTCATTTTAGCAATCTTTTAAGGCAGGTAGTAGCTTCTAAAGAGCAATCCAGCATTACACCACAAGCCAATGTCGAAATACCAGTGATTCAGGTCACCAAAATTAGACCAGGCAGTGGATTATTTGAAAGTTCTAAAGAAATAATAAGATAATTATAAAGATAATAAGATAATAAGGAAACGGGAACTGAAAATATGAAAAGCAATTATCCATTGCTTCTGAATCAAAGGAAGGTTGAAGATGAAGGGGACCTCTCAAGGTCATCTGACCCAACCCTTTGCTCAAGAAGGTCCACTCAGAGCCAGTTGTCCAGGACCATGTCCAGACAGCTTCTAAGTATCTTTAAAGAATGACCACCCTTTAAAGAAGGAGATCCCACAACTTCTCTGGGCAGCCTGTGCCAGTGCACCCTTCCTTTAGTACTTGTGCACATTGATCAGATTCCCCTCTGAGCCTTCTTTCCTCCAAACGTTTCTGTCTCTCCCATATGAAAGATGCTCCAGTCCTTTAATCATTTTGGTGGCCTTTCACCTGAACTCTTTGTGTTATGTCCATGTGTCTCTTGTACTGGGGAGCCCAGAATGACCAAGCACTCCAACTGTGGTCTAACCAGTGCTAAGTAGGGGGAAAGGAAGCAAACACATTCCTTGAGCTGCTGGCAGCTAAAGCAGCCCAGTAGTCCCTTTGGTTGCAGGCCATATTGCTAGCTCATGCCACCTTGGTGTCCATGAGGACCTACAGGTCCTATGCTGAAAATCTGCTTTCCAGCTGATTGCCCCTGAATGTAATACTGGTGTGTGGGAATTACTCTTCCTCATGTGCAGGACTTCACACTTCCCCTTGTTGAACTTCATGAGGTTCCTGCCAGATCATTTCTCCAGCATGTCAAAGTCCACCCGACTGGCAGTTCAACCCTCTGGTACACCACTCGTATCAAGAAGTTATCACTAATCCTGCTGGATTGCTTATGCCCTACAACATTGTCCCTCCAGGAAATATCAAGGTAGTTGAAGTCCCCATTAAGGATCAGGAACTACAAACACCAGGCTGTTTCTGGCTGTCTCTACAGGGCTCCATCTGCTTGTTGCTCCAGGAGAGGCAGCATAGGTAGGTAGGCATAGTAGGCATAGTAAATGCCTTCCACCAAGTCACCACTATAGGTCTGCTCTTTAATCCTTATCCACAAGCTCCCATCATTCATCTTCAGGCAGGGCTCCATGCACTCCAGTTGCTCCCTCCTTGTCTTCCTGGCCAGCCCTTCCTAAAGAGTCTGTATCCCTCCACAGCAGCCCTCAGTCACAGAATCACAGAATGATTAAGTTGGAAGAGACCTTCAAGACCATCGAGTCCAACCAATGCCCTAATACCACAACTAAACCATGGCACCAAGTGCCACATCCAGACTTTTTTAAAACACATCCAGGGATGGTGACTCCCCCATCTCCCCAGGCCATTCCAGTGTTTAATCACTCTTTCCGTGAAGAACTTTTTTCCTAATATCCAGCCCATATTTCCCTTGGTGCAGCTTAAGGCTGTGTCCTCTCATTCTGTCTGTTGCTGCCTGGTGAAAGAGACCGACCCCCACCTGACTGCAACCACCTTTTAGGGAATTGTAGAGAATGATAAGATCACCTCTGAGTCTTCTTTTCTCCAGGCTAAACAGCCCCAGCTCCCTCAGCCGTTCTTCATAGGGCTTGTGTTCCAAGCCCCAGTCCATTCACTGCATCCCCAGGATCCTAACAAGATCCTTCCCCTGCAACTGCACACAGATCTCCAGTTCCTCCTGTTTCTGGCCCATCTTGAGCCCTGTTTTATTCATGTTGTGTTCCTGTGGTTCACATCACCCTGGGTGCTTTGCTCAGCAGCCTCCCCATCCTCCCCCAGAGCTGCGGTGACTCCCCCTTCCCTCGGGGCTCCTGGTTTAAAGCCCTCTTCACCAGGTCAGCCACCCTGCAGCAAGGACACGTGTGCAAAGATAGAACTCTGCACCTGACATTGGGCTGATCTGCTTATTGCAAGGCTGACACTGAAGATTTTCTGATGGAGGAACCTCTACTGTGAACCAGGAGAATCTGCAGAGCCAAGCAACTATATTCATATTTCTATGAATCCCTAAAATGTGAAGGGATTTCTAAGTGGGTTTCACTGCTTTATTCCTTCTTTCTCTGTGGAAGCAAATCTCTTCATGGAAAACAGACAAGAAGGAGTTAAGGTCTATTCCTATGGAACACATTAAGTTTAGAAATCTAAAAACACATGAAACTTTGAGGATATACATCCATATATGCAATATGTAATTCAGTAAACATGGTAAGAACTAGCTCAGTATTTAATTATGATCTGTGGTTTAGGGGTTTTTTTCCCTTCCTGATTTGAAATAGAAACAGAAAAAAGGTTAGTAAGCACAGCCAGTGAGATGAAAGGAATAAATGAAAGGAGGAAGTAGAAGACAATCCCATCCCATCACTGTCTGTTGTCAACTGACTAATTTTTTGCACAAAGCGTAGTCACTTTTAGAACCTCTTGTGCCTGAGGTGGAGGACAAGCGGCTGCC